TGCGAGTGATTGATCATCATTTGTATGTGCGGACACTAATATTTGCACCACTTTAAAATGATTATGAATGCCACAATAATAATTAACAAGATTACATATCTTTGATGATGTAACAGACAAAACAAAACAAAAATATCACCAAAAGATTAATATTTATTGAGGAAAATCCAAAATTGGTTCATGTTATTATTCATTTGTAACCAAAGTTATGAAATGCATCCCTAGTTGGCTAATTCCAATGGCAATTGGGCATATTATTGTTGACGAGAAGTCAAGAATCATGCATCTTTGTTATTTCATGTTTGTTGACAGCAAGTCAAGTGAAGTATTGTAAAAAAAAAGTAGTAATTATATGGTATATTAATTTACTCATATGCCGACCCATAAAAAGAGTCCATTTACAAATACGAAATTTGGGAGTATGATTGTACGTGGGGGTCGACTGCTCCACCATCTTTTAGTATCTTTCTCTCATAATAGGAGCACACCAGAATTTATGAAAAAGGTTTGTAGAAAGGGAAATTTTAAATTTTAAATATATTTAAAAATCTACAGCTCTTACGATTCACAAAATACAATCTGAATGTAACTTAATTGTTTTTGTTTTATGATCTGAAGGTGAGTTTAAACAAATTGTTCATCATCTTTAACATTCAGCATTTCTTATGTTTTGGTATTTTTTAATACAAAAAATATGGGATTTTATAAATTATATGTACTATATGCGTTTGACAACATAGTTTTTTTTGCTAAACAAACTACAAACTTTTCTTGAACAGCAATAAAAATAATATGTGTTTTAAAATTTGCTGTTAGTATGGTTACTTCCACTCTCAAGTCACAACTTTACTGTTTTTCGTTTGAGGTTTTTATTTCTCCACTATCCCTTTGGCTGTTTCCTTAAAATCTCCCCTGTTTATTTTATATTTTATTGAAGATCCAAATATTGATAGTTGTATTTTAATATGATCTTATACGTCAGACAAACAAAGAGTGCATAAAACAATGCAAGCATGTACAGTACAACCATCGCCAACTAAACACATAGTAGGTTATTTACTACTAATCGTGTGTTTCCAAAATTTGGGTTACTTATTTTTTGTAGCCATCCTACCTAGAGACAAAAGTTATGCTATCATCTGACGTTTTATAGACAAACACAACCCACCAGATGAGACTTAATTATGTTTGGCTACTCTACAAAAATTATCGCCTCATACAATTTTGGTCCAATATTTTTAATTGGTAGTTTATTTATTTGTATCAGTTCTTTCTATAGATTCTATTTTTAAATTATATATACCGATCATAGCTATAAATTTAAAACTATATAAACTCTGATAACTTGATTATTTTGTACTATCTTTAATATGATGTTGTACTGGGCAACCACTAAGCTCTTCATCATTGGGTCTCAAATCTTTAACCGTTTCTTCTCTGTGTAAATCATTACTGTC